ATAGCAACGAGATAATAATGAAGACTTAGAACACACAGTGCAAGGGGTTAAAAATGATTAAAAAACGAAATAAATATCCAAGGCTATCCTACAGGCCATACAATCTTAATTTTGCATAAAACTCCACAGTCTATGCATATAAAAGAAATCCTAACGTATTGTCAATTTTTCCTATTGCTCCCTAAGTTGATCCATAACGGAATAAAATATTCGCGGCGCTTTCAAACGATCTTCGTCCGCGAGCGTTGATTCCTCCGCGCGACAAAGATCAAGAATTTGTTCAAATAAATTCGACCGTTGCCCGATACAAGCCCCATCGGACTAAAAACAATTCGTCGAACTCCAGCAGGCGAAAGCTCGCCGAATAAAGACGATCCGCTAATTAGCTAAAGCGTCCGATAAAAAATAAAAAAGAGAAAAACCGAAATTGGCCATCCATCGTGAGGCAGATCGGTCAAGCCGCGCCCGTGCGCGCCGCCCCCACACCAACCCCCCGTGGCACCGGAATCCGTTCGCAACCCGTTCACAAAAACGAGAGCGGCTCGTCGGAATCCGCAGGCGGAAACCGATCGAGCGGAGGTCAAGACGAGTTTCGCCGATCGCGACCGGCAACTTTTGCCCGATAACGTACGTGTGCCGGGGTCGGTCGGGTGCGTGTGTGGGTACGCGCGCGCGCTCCTCGGAGTCCTTTCAAGCTCGACCACCCTCCCCGCGCGCGATCCGCGCCCGTTTTCCCTTCGACGGAGAGTCCCGGGGAGAGATATCCCCGGTGTATCGGCTCTCTCTCGCGTACACAACACAGCCGGCGAGCGTCGCGGCGCACATCGTCGGAGCGCACCTAATTAAACTTCGCGAGCGCGGCGCGGAGAGAGGAACGTTAGACTTTCATTCGCAGGGGGGAGGAGGGGGAGGGGTGTGCTTTCTTGCATCGGGCGCGCAAGCAACCTCTCCCGCGCAACCCCCGGCCGCCATTCGGCCGCTCGAATCGAACGAGCTTCCGGGCTTCTTCCGCGAATTGCACCGGGGAGAGGGTGGATTTTTGAGCCTGTATCCGGCCGACTGATTTTATTCCATCCCTCCGGCCCGATTCAACGCGGTCCTCCGCGTCGTTTTCTATTAGGGGAACGGGAACGGGAACGCCGGGGAAAAATGAAAGTTCGAATTCGCCGGGGGTACGTGCACTCCTGAACAGGAAACTTCCCATTTTTCGCGGGGACGGTTCGCAGGACCCGCTTTGTCGGTGCTCCGGAATGAATTTGGTTCGGTTTTGCGACCCGGCTCGTGGGGGGGGGTGAAGGCGCGCGGGAATTTATTAGACGGAACCCGTGGGAGGGACGGGGGGAGAGGGGGCTAACGACGGGAATTTGTTATTGGATCTTCGCGGTTAAGTAATGGAATCTTGAAAACGAGATTTCGGGCCGACTTCCGGCCCGATCGATCCGCCGGCTGAACTTGAGATTGGAGGGACGACGTCGGGAGCGTCGGGAGATCGTTTTCGATTGGAACAGGGCTCGGCGGAGTCCCCGATTACGCTACGTTTCAGTACCTTCTTCCTGGGGGTGGGTTGTAAGGGACTTGCGAGAACTCGATTTTTTTCTCGGAGTTGTTTGCAGCTGATCAATTCCCGAATTTTATTAATTATACTGAAAAATTGCGACGGTTCTTGCGACGGTTTTCGATCCGATTAACCCTTTCACAGGCACTGGGAACGAGCTTGCCACCCGTTTCAGTGCGCACAGGGACACCGGGCTCAAGTATTCCCACCGCTGAAATGTGCTGCCATCTATATGTAGGTCCCAACACCTCTGATTTTGAGGGGTGAGAAATTGGAAATAATGGGAATGCAAATAACTGCTGTATTATATATAATTATTATATTATATAATTATATACATAATATTATACAATTATTATATATAATATTATAATATATAAATAATATATTATTATATTATTTTTTATTATATATTATTATATAATATTATATATTATATACTATATTATATATAATATATAATAAATAATATATTATATGTACTACATGTACGATAAAATGATGGTAAGTGAATATCCCAATTTTTTTGAAGATTCATATTGTGCCCATGAAAGAGTTAATCTCGTTCTTTGAACGTTCTAAAAGAGGAGAAACTGGACGAGCCTGTGTTATTACCCAACGTAGCGTAGTGACGCCGGTTACCAAGGGGCGGCCGCCAATTGCTGTGCCTTTGGTTCTGTATTCGAGCATATATAACTCCATATTTATCGAATAAAACACACTGGCTTCATCGTTCCTGCATTTTGTCTATTTTCAAATATAAACAAAATTTAGTATATTCTATTCGATGAATGTGAAGTTAATTATATCCGAGGACAAAAGCAATTGTTCGGCCCACGGTAATCCCGCTGCACCCTCAACCCTGTTTTCTCTTTACGTACGAAAAAAAAAGAAATCTCTTTCGCGAATAAACAAGACCGGGCGAAGCGACGAGAATAATTTCTACGTCCATTCGAGGATTCTCAGCTAACGAACGAATTCTTCACCGCGGGGTGAGTTTCTCGGCGAAAATGCGCCATGTAAATGACGTCAGCGGGCTGCAGCTGCCCGGAACGTTCCGGAAGAGCGAAGAAAAGGAGTGGTAGAAACACAGGCCCCCGACCGCCGGGGATGTTTATTTGAGCTTCTTTCGCGCGGAAGTTTATCTGTTGCAAGTTCGCGCGCCGTTCAACCCCCTAAATCAGTTTCATCGGCGAACATCGGCGGCCCGTGAGGCGTTAATTGATCGATCAACAGTTTTCTGGCCGGGACGCGGCGGGGCTCCGGCGGAAAGTTAGCCGATGCTCAACTGGTTGCAAAATTCATACCGTTTCCGAAGAACTCGGGGGGGTAGGGGAGGGGGGAGGGGGCACGATCCGGTCAAAATAACGCGCGCGCCGCCGTCCGTTCGACGCGGCTTCGTATTATTCAGAGCGTTCCGACGACGGATAAATCGATAGAAAACTAGGGCTGGATTAATTAATTCAATTGTACCGGGCCGCGAGTGTATTCTTCCTTTCCGACCGGGAATCCCGACGGGCGGTGCTCGAATTTCGGACCCCGGCGCGCGACGTTCGAATTTCAATTTTTTTCTTTTTTGAACGAAATTTTGCCGATCGAATTTCGATCCGAATTCCGGCGCCAGTTTTCGAATCCGGCACCTCGAACTGTCCATAAGTACAACGGTAGGGTGGCGGGACCGGTTACTGTGGGGCGACCAATTGCTGACAGACACGATTAATCTTCTATTTATCGAATGGAATATATTAAATTCTTTTATTCCTTTGTTCCGTTTATTTTTTGGTAGGAAGATTCTTCTATTTTATTTATTTTCGAACGAAAATATTTAACTCGGTCACCCCACAGTAATCGGCGCTACTGCTCCGGTAGTTTTCATCTTATAATTATCAAAATTTGCGAAAATCTTCATTTTATAATTATGAAGATTCGTAAAACTGCTTCTGCGATAAAAATTATACAGAGTTTCGAATACTGCTGGCAGACTGGGCATGATCGTTTGAAAATTTGAAGCGCTTCTCGTCGTTCAAGCTTTTACACGAAAATAATTTTCCACTAGCACTTAATAATAATAATAATAATAATAAAAATAATTAGTAGTAGTAGTAGTAGTAAGAAATAATATTTTACTACAATTTAATAACTGAATAAAAAATAAATGACAAACTGAAACCTCGAAGAACATTCGCTCAATAAAATAACACCGAATTAAATCGCATTTAGAGTTCAGAGTTGGAATTCTCCCGCGCATTTTCGAATCGCAACGGTCGCGTCGCGACCCTATTCGGACGACAACGAAACGAATCCGCGACCCGATTCGTCCACGAACGTCGAATTCCGCGAGCCGCTGATTATCGCAGCTTTGTTCGCGGTAGGAAGGTCGAATTGAACCGAATTCATGGTGTCGATCGATCTCCCGGAGCTAACAGGCCGGAAATATAACTGATAAGAATTTCACGAGCCTGGTGAGAACGATATGCCTTGGTTCCCCGAAAACTGCAACCCCAACCCTCGAGCGGCACGCGATCCGGGGTGCTCCGCTGCCGCGTTTCAACCCCCCCGGAGGAAACGCTCGATCAAACATTTACAAGAATTTACTTCCGTAACGGTTGAACGATCGCCTCGGAAGGGTTCGCAACGTCCTGCGTATTAAGGGCGCATTCGTTGTCCCGTTTCTCTTTCTTTCTTTTATTTTTTTCGGAGGAAAGGGGGGGCTCGTTAAGGGGCAGCTACGTGGGGTGCAACCGGTGTAACAATCTAACTAGTGGGGCGGGTGGTTTAATCGATTGTTTTTAATCACATTAGAGCTCTAGCGATCGTTAAAACTCACTAAGGGAACGTTCGCGGTCCTCTAAGGGTTGTGGGTTCGCTCTAAGAATCAACGTCTCTAACGACAAAGAAAACGGGGAAACGTTGCTCGATCGTTCGATGTTCGCGGCTCGAGGACTGCCACGTCTTTGTTTTCCGAACAGCTGTTTTTCCGGACAACCGAAATCTCGAATAATTCTTTTTCCGACGCATTTTTCTATCCGACGACCGTCGCGTTTCTTCGAATGAAACGAACAAGGGGGAGAGAACCGAAACCTCGAACTTCACGGACAAGAAAATTCTTCCAATTTCATTTGTTCGAACTCGAAAACTGTTCAGCGAACTGACAACAGCTGAGAATTTCGGTTCTACGTTAACAGCGATTTGGAAGATAAAGAGCCTCGACGATCATCAGGGTTAAATGTATATATCTCTATTTTATTCCTAACGGCTATCGTTGTCCCTTTCGTTGGTGTTCGCAACGGGCAAACATACGTCTGCTTTTTTACCGATGGGGGGGAACGCTGCTGGGGTTGCCTCGTTATTATTTCTCTGTTTGTGATATTCTCGGTGTCGCCGTCCACGCGGCGAGCGACGGTAAGTTTAAGTAAAATATTAAAGTGATGTATTTTGATATTACCATATGAGTTGTGAAACTGTTGGTGATGAGACTCGAGACCGGTTCCTGGGTGGTGGATATCCAGCATGGCATCCGGCTCGCCTCCGCTCTCAGAGCAGTTGCTCAGGGCTAAAACCAAACCGATAGACACACACCTTGCGTTTAAACTTCAAATCAGTTTGCAATGACGGCGATCCGTAATTCCGCGGAATACCCTCGCTTATCATTTCTTTCGCGTCTCTCTAGATTTTTATCTCTCACTCGCTCTCTCTCTTTCTCTCTCTCTCTTTCTCTCTTTCTTTCTCTCTCTCCCTCTCGCTCTCTCTCCTCGGCCCCGTACCCTGATTTTCGACCACCTTCCGTTTTCCCCTTGAATCGAAACTCTACAGAGCGCAACGCTTTTTTATCGTTTAAATCTGTTCGCGAAACTCTATGCTCGCAAATTTCGCGAATTCTTGAACAATTCTTTAACAATTCTTCAACGTTCGAATCTCGAATTTCATCAATTCTTTCAGCTAACTCCCGATCTCGTTGATTTGTCTGTTTTTCTTTTATCGACTCGCGAGCTCCCGGGCCTTGGATTCGATCAATTACTCGACTACCCTTTGAATTCTCACGGCTCGAATTTCAGTAATTGTCCAACTACGTTCTAAACATTGAAAATTAACGAATGCTAGAGGCCTTTCAAGCGTTCTCCCGTCGCCAAAGCGATATCCGCCAGCCGCAGATCGAATTTCGAACGCGTTCATTTTAACACTATGTGTACTTTCTACATTATGTATATATATATGTATATATATTAACATGTATATTTGATAATAGATCGTAAGTGATTGCTAGAACTCGTCTTGAAAAGCGACTGGACTCTACTGGACTTTGAAAACGGCGGTCGGAGCGAGTCTCCTTCGCGGGGGATCGCGCGAGCAAAGGGGTCAGAAAATGGCGGGGTGATTCGAGGCGAGCGCCCGATGCGAGAACGATCTATATTACGGGATCTATCGCTGAATCATAGTCCCCTCGGACGAAAATCATCGGGGGCGACGGGGCCGGTTTGTTTGTTCGAATTCTGTTGTTCCCGCCGTTTCCGGGACCGGACCGGGCCGAGACGGGCGCGTGCTCGCGTGACTTCGTTCTCCGTTTCCTCGTCCTCGCGGGCGAACAACAAAATGGAACGGAAACGTAAAGAACCGTTTGTAACAGAGGAGAAACGTGCGGCCCGTGAAAGAAATCAGAGAACAGAAAGCTGGGGTATGTCGCGCGTGCGTTTCGCTCGGAACTTATCGATACCAAAAACCAAACTGGGCCGGCCGGCAACGTCTTCGAGCGCTCTGCGACTCGGTTCTCCGCTAAAAAAGAGATCAAAGTCTCGTCGAAAAACGAGAAAATCCGCGCGCTCGATTCGAACGTCCGCGTCGTCGAAGTTCCCCAGAAAAAAATCACAGACCGAAAGAAAGCGAAAAGTAAGCGCTCCCGGCGCGCGTTTGCAACGCCCGCAAGATGGACGACGCGGGGAACTCGAATCGAGCGGGCTGCGAAGACGTTGCGCGTTGGCCTATCTACGCTGAAAAAAAGAACAGAAAACAAACGGAAAATATGAAGCGTAAAAAAACAGGAGAGAACAAGGTGGAAAGCAAGGCGAAGAACGAAATCAAAAATACTTTGGTCGTGTGCGGGAGCGATGGCGGTTTGGATCGGCGGGGTTCTGGGTGAGGGGGGAGGAGGGATGAAAGAAACGCGGAACGAAACCACTTCCGGCCGCGGGACGCGCGTCTGACGACTTTTCGGAGGTGCGTGTCTTTGTCTATCCGTTTGGCTGCTCGTGATAACTCGGACAACTCGGCTCGAACTATCGATCGTTCCTCGCGTCCGATGCCACGGAAGGAGCTCGGAAGCGGCCTGCGTCCCTTGAAGAAGCTTCCTCCTCGGCGATCTTCCGTGTAGAATCTCTTCCGATCGTCTTCGGCCGATGACGGGGGCGACTAACCGATCGGTTCAACCCTCGGCTTCGCGCGAGCGCGAGGCGGGAGGGTGGTTCTCGGGGACCGTGGAACGTTTCTCGTTCCGCGCGAAGAACCGTCGAGGCAACGAAACACGGAAGAGACCGCAGATCGGGCACTGTTCGACAGCCCTGCGGGACTCGGGGCGAGGCCGGGTCGGTTCTGACCCGTAGCGAAAACCTCTCTCATCGCTCGTCTCTTCCGTTACCTGTCCCAGCGAGCTGGGCCGAACGACGTTCTCGGGAACGGGGCTGCGGCGCTTTGTTCACGTGCGCTACCTGACGGAGGGTAGTTCTCGGGGATCTTCGATCCGTTCGGGAGCTTCCAGAATCGTGAAAGAACGAAATTTACGTTGCGGTTCGAAGACAATCGAAGCGCAACGTCGGCGTCGATCTCGCGACGCTCGACGCCGCCAGGCTTCGAACTGTAAAACAATTACGGTCGACCGCAACGCTTTGTCTAGATAAACGGCAATCGTGATTTTTTTTCTGTAATTTCACGAGTTATTTATTTCGATGTCTCTGCGTTCCGTCGTTCTCTGTTCTCCGGAGCGAGTTCCGTTCGTTCCCATCTGTGTTCATCGTTTCTTGTTCGTTCGACGGTCGTCGCTTCGCGATCTCGCGACGCGGAAGGTTCGTCCCGCGAAAAATATCGAGGTTAAATAAATCGAACAAATAATAGATCGTGTCTCTGCAGAGACGGGAACAGTCGCCGTCGAAAAATGTCTGCTGCAAAATCGTGGAAAGCGACTCGAAGCTGCGGCGCGACCTCGATCGCAAGACGCGAGAAAACGTTCGCTCGGCAACTCGTCCTCGAGTCGCTTCCTGCGAATTCCCTCTCGACGAGGGAATCTTCTGGCCCCCCGGAACGGCTCGCCCGTATCGCGCAGCTGAAAACGGCCGAAACCGATCGAGGGCGATCTCGACGGTCCCGGAGAAATCAACGGATCCCCCAAAGCGAACGATCTCTCGCGCGGAGAAAAGTTTGCGAATCTCCGAGCAGATTGTGAATTATTTCTTCGGCCCCTCGATCCGCCGGAATTGAATGGCGGCCCTGTCATCCCCTTCCGCGTCTCGAATAGTTCCCCGGGACCGGTCCTGAATAATCGTTCGGATATTCGGTCGGAACGATTATATGCGCAGTTGTAAATTATTCCCCGACGTCGGCCGGCCGTTCGCCGATGCCTCTTGAAAGGAGGAGTCCGCGCAGGCTGGCCCCGGGGTCGTCTCTTTCTCTCTCTCTCTCTCTCTCTCTCTCTCTCTCTCTCTCTCTCTCTTGCTAAAAATCTCTGTAAATATTCGGAAAAGCTCCGGCGGACCGCTCAAAGGCGGCTCTTATTAAATTCTGCTCCCCTCGGAACTGAGACGGCTCCCCGAAAAAGAAGGCGAACTGGCTGCGCCCCCGAAAAAACGGTGCCGGGGCCCCCGCTTTGATCCGCAAAGACAACGGCGAGGAATCCTTCGGGGGGCGGGGCGTGGAGGAAAGAAAATCGAGCGCGAAAGAAAATCGAGCGCTGCAAAATCGTCTCGTTTTTCCGGGCTCGGGAACGCGTTTGTAAATCGCCGGGCCCCGGCGACGACGCGGTGCGCGTTAAACGCCGCGGAAGAATCTCTAGAGATCGAGGGGGGATGGGGTGAGAAGGTTGTCCGGGGGGTGGGGCCGGGCTGGAAGAGTCTTCGAGGCTCTAATAAGCCCGTCATAAATGTTCGAATAATCAAACAGGAGGCGCCTCGCGTTAACGAAAAACGGGAACAAGAGCCTCCGTCGTCGCACAGAGAAGAGAACAGAGTCGAGGGGCTCCGAGCTTCTCTTTTCCCTTCGTCCCCCTCTCTCTCTCTCTCTCTCTTCTCTCTTTCCTTTCTGTCCCTCTCTCTCTCTCTCTCTCTCTAGCCCTTTTTTCTTCCTCTTTTCTCTTTTAGCCACGCGAAGAATCATCCCCTTCTGGACGGTACCAGCCCGTACATACGCGAGTCACGTACGTAACAGTAGCGGACTGACATGTATGCCTCGTAACAGTAAGCCGGTTCCCACTGAGAACCCTGTTACTACGTCTACATGGCGGAAAAGAGGGTAGAAAGCGACCGGGAGAGAGCGAGAGAGCGAACGAGAGAGCGAACGAGAGAAAGAGCGAGAGTGTGTACCGGGAGGGTGAGGCAGGGAGAAAGAGAGAGAGAGAAAGAGAGAGAGAACCCGACAGAGAAGAGAGAGACTTTGTGTTGTAATACGTGTTCCGTGCGGTGTACATAGACATATACCGCATGCATGACGTGGAGGATGAGTCAGCTCGTGGAAAGCAGTTTCAGGGAGAATTCATCACGAAACTTTCCGGAAATGTTTGTCCTTTTTCGTCCTTCTTGCCGCTGACGCGGAATTCTTTCGCAGACTTTGAACTTCCCGCGGAAATTCGTCTGTTCTGCACGCGGCCCCGTTCAGCACCGTCTACTATGTAGTCCGGAACGGACGATAATTAGAAGTTCGAACGAGTCGATTTTTGTCGAGCGACTCGCGGATCTTGAATTTACGGTTTCGATTTTATTCGCCATTATGGAGAACTTCGCCGGATCGCCGAGCTTCCTCGGCTCTGTTNTCTCTCTTGCTAAAAATCTCTGTAAATATTCGGAAAAGCTCCGGCGGACCGCTCAAAGGCGGCTCTTATTAAATTCTGCTCCCCTCGGAACTGAGACGGCTCCCCGAAAAAGAAGGCGAACTGGCTGCGCCCCCGAAAAAACGGTGCCGGGGCCCCCGCTTTGATCCGCAAAGACAACGGCGAGGAATCCTTCGGGGGGCGGGGCGTGGAGGAAAGAAAATCGAGCGCGAAAGAAAATCGAGCGCTGCAAAATCGTCTCGTTTTTCCGGGCTCGGGAACGCGTTTGTAAATCGCCGGGCCCCGGCGACGACGCGGTGCGCGTTAAACGCCGCGGAAGAATCTCTAGAGATCGAGGGGGGATGGGGTGAGAAGGTTGTCCGGGGGGTGGGGCCGGGCTGGAAGAGTCTTCGAGGCTCTAATAAGCCCGTCATAAATGTTCGAATAATCAAACAGGAGGCGCCTCGCGTTAACGAAAAACGGGAACAAGAGCCTCCGTCGTCGCACAGAGAAGAGAACAGAGTCGAGGGGCTCCGAGCTTCTCTTTT